CCCCTCTCCAGATCTCCAAAGAGACCCTCCCCCACCCCACAGAACACTGGGTGGTGGGTGGGTGGAGCTGCTTCCCTTTGACACTGGCGTGGGCTGCAGTCTGTCAGACAGGTTTTAAATAGCCCTCTCTACTCAGGATGGGAACCACCCAGCTGGCCTGACAGCTGGTGGGGGAGCCCCAGGCACTAGCTCTCCTTCCTAACGACCCAGGTGCTACCAGGCCCAGCTCCTGGAAATAACTGGCCTGCTCAGCCTGGCCAGGCCTCTAAAGGGAGTGCCAAGGCAGAGGGACACAAGCTGGACCACACACATATATCATTGGCCTGTGGTGGGAGGTAGGGGCTAGGATTGCCTTGGGGCTACCTGCTACTGCCCTTGGCTCCTTCCCACCTGGAGGTGGGGAGCAGGTGCCTCTACATGGGTCCTGGGCAGGTGACAGGCAGCTCTGGGCACTTGCGGGTCTCCCCAGGGTCTTGTCCTCCCAATTCAGGCTGCACATACCCCCAGGGCTGATCCTTCCCTGCCATCTTTCAGAGCAAGGTAAAATTCATCAAGCAGACCAGCGCCATCCTGCAGCAGCACTATGATGGGGACATCCCAGCCTCTGTGGCAGAGCTGGTAGCACTGCCAGGTGTTGGGCCCAAGATGGCACACTTGGCTATGGCTGTGGCCTGGGGCACCATATCAGGCATAGGTGAGTGGCGTGGCCACAAAGAGGGAGGGGCCAGCTCTAGGTTGGCTGGCTGCTATTGGGCTCCCCACATCAATCCATGTGAGCTATAGCCTTCTCATCCAGGACTAAACCCAAAGGGTCAGAAAGGTGTTTGCTGTGCTAAGCCACCCAGCACCACCCAGCAGTGGGTATTCATGGTAGGAACTCACATTTACTGAGCACCTACTGTGTGCTGGACTCTATAAGGGGCCCTTGGAGATAGCCACAGGCCCATGGTACACACTAGGGACAGTGGGCAAGGAAAGCCTCACCTGTGGTGGCAGCACTCCTGGGGCATGGCATTTGCTGTGGAAGCTGACCTGGGCTGGGAGCATCTAAGAAGATGTCCTGGGAAGATGGCAGCTGAGAGCTTTGGGTAAGGCAGGATAAGCCAGGCCAAGAGAAGGAAGCACATTCCAGACAGAAGGAACTGTGTCTCCAAAGCTATGAGGTGAGAGAGGCCAGGACAGGGAAGCTCAGGAGTGAGATGGCCAAGTAGGGAGTTTGAGGAGGCAGTGGGGCTCAGGAAGAATGGCTGGCTGTCTCCTGGGATTGGAGATGGACTGGGGGGCTTCCTGGGTGTTGCCTCCTGGCACTGAAGGGTCCTCTGTGTAGCTAGGTGAAGACAGAACTCCCTGGGGAGCCAAGATGGACCCTAACCACCACCCCAGAGCTGCTTTCTTCTTTTTCTTCTCCTTTTTTTGATATCAGGGATTGCTGATGGGGTCTTTGAATTTGTGATCCTCCTGCCTCAACCTCCTGAGCTGCTGGGATTATAGGCATATGCCACTGTGCCCAGCATGGGCTGCTTTCTTCTTGAAGCTTTGCCCAGGGAGTTGGGACTCCTGCAGCTGCATAATAACGGGGCCAACCTGCCCAGAAACCAGGGTTTGACCCACCCTTTCTGTATACCCCTGACCCCAGGCTTCTCTGGAATTCCTATCCAGCCCAGAGGAATATCCTCTGGCAGGTATCTGAGCTGACAATGTCTCCCAGCACTCCCTGGAGAGTAAGAGGGTAGCTAGGGGCCCAGAGCTTTGGTTGGGAGCTGATTACCACCTGGTGAGGCTGGAGATCAGCAACCCCTGCAAGAACCAGGCCTGGGCGGGAGTGCGGCTGTCCCCACCCCTACCTCAACTCCCAGTGCCACTGCCACCTCTCACCAGATACTTGAGCTTATCTGGGCACTGTCCTCAGCTGCCCATGTCCTAGGAGTAGTGCATTGTAGTTGGGCACTTAGATGGGGGAAGGGCCTCTGCCCATGGCCCAGACAGGGACTGCTTTGGAACAGCAGACAACAGGAGTGTCAGAATGCCACCCTCCCTGCAGGAAGACCTGACCTGCTTTTAGGGGAGGCAGTTAAAAAGCCAGAGCCAGCCAGGCTTAGTGGTACATACCTGTGATCATGGCTACTTGAGAGACTGAAGTAATAGGATTGCAAATTCAAATTCAAGGCCAACCTGAACAAGTTAGTGAGACCCTGTCTCAATTTTTTTTCTAATATTTATTCTTAAGCTTTAGGTGGATACAATATCTTTATTTTACATTTATGTGGTGCTGAGGATTGAACCCAGTGCCTTGTGCATGCTAGGCAAGCACTCTACCACTGAGCCACAACCCCAACCCAAAACTTTTCTTTTTCTTTTTTTTTTTTGTAGTGCTGGAGATTGAACCTAGCGCCTTGTACATAAGGCAAGCACTCTACCAACTGAGCTATATCCCCAGCCTTCAATATATATTTTTGGTGTGTGCGGTGCTAGAGATTGAATTTAGGGCATTCTGTATACGAGGCAAGCACTCTACCAGCTGAGCTATATCCCCAGCCCCTCCTGTCTCAGAATTTTTAAAGGCTGGGAGCCAGGTGCAGTGTGATGTAAACCTGTAACCCTCAGGAGGCTGAGGGGAGAGGATCACAACTTCAAGGCCAGCCTGGGCATCTTAGCAAGATCCTATCAAAAGAGCTGGGGATGTAGCTCAGTGATAATGCACCCCTGGGTTCAATTCCCAGCACTGTAAAAAATAAAATAATTTTAAAATGAAAAGCCAGAGCCATGGGGTCCAGGAGCAGGTTCCAGTTGTGCCTCTCCCACCTGAGCAATCTCAGGTCAAGTACTTAGCCTCTCTGAGCTTTGACTCAAAGCTGGTAAAGCAGTAGCCCTCCTTAATCAAATAGATACACCAAAGACTTGCATGCCGTGTCCTAAGGAGCATGGTCACCTCTCTTACAGAGGAGGAAACCCCAGGACGGGAGCCCTTAGCCTTTTTGCTCTGCCTGCCCCCCAGGCAGTTAGCAGTAAGGCAAGGGAGCAGGTGCAGGGATTGCCTTTCACTGGCAAAGCCCTGGAGAAGCAGGGCCATGGCTACTGCTGCCAGGGTAGCTGGGTGGAGACCTGGAGCTGGGCTGAGCCCCTGCAGTGGCCAGCTGACAGGATCAGGGGCTGAAGCCCAGGTGGACTGCAGCTGCAGTAGACCGGGCTGCCTTCCCTGTTCTGTCATTGACGGATGTAGTGGCAGGTGCTGGCTCTACAGCAGTGACCTCAGGCCAGCCTACCAAGCCAAGCCACTGCCACGCCACCTGGTGCCTGCAGCCAGTGCCTGTACAGGGAGATAAAGCAGAGGCGGAAAGGCAGGGCCTTTCCTGGGTCAGCCCTTGGTCCTGGTGAGGCTGCAGGCTAAGAGTACACACAGTTTGTGTTTGTTTCTTTGTTTTATTTAGTGTGCTAGGGTCTCCTGCATGTTAAGCATGCCTCTACCACTGAGCTACAACCTTAGAGAGCACTTCAGAGTAAGAACCCTGCCCAGCCTCAGCTTTGCCTTGTAAAGATTTACTGAGCTGAGACTGGTAGATCTTTTGGTGCAGAGTCTGACCCCCAGCTAGCTGTTACCATTTTGGGGTGATTCATAGCCCAAAGCAGATACCGTTCCACCTTCCCAGCTGCACCAGAATTGGTGGGAATGGGACAGCCCAAAGCAGAGAACACCTAGGCACTCCCAGTGATGGAAAGGATGCCTGAAGGAATTGCCCACACTCTTCCAGAGAACTCCAGGTCCAGCTTGGCAGCCAAGATGCAGCAGCTGCTCTCATACCTGAAGCCAGGGTTCTGTAGTCCCCCCCCACTGCTTGGAGGCCTGGGGGCTCAGCCAAAAGATGCCTTCAAGGATATGGGGAGGGACAAGGGGCGCCGTCCATCTGGCAGAGTGTGACCCTGTTTACCCCACCCATTTCCAAGTAGCAGTGGATACACATGTGCACAGAATCGCCAACCGACTGAGATGGACCCAGAGGCCGACTAAGTCCCCAGAGGCAACCCGAGCCGCCCTGGAAGAGTGGCTGCCCAGGTAAGGCAGGGTGGGGTCCCTGTAGGCAGGGCCTTGTCTCTCTCCCTCTTTGCTAACCCAGCTTCTATCCCCACAGGGAGCTGTGGAGCGAGATCAATGGGCTCTTGGTGGGTTTTGGCCAGCAGACCTGTCTGCCTGTCCACCCTCGCTGCCAGGCCTGTCTCAACCAGGCCCTGTGCCCCACTGCCCAGGGCCTCTGAGGGCTGTGGGCTGTGTTGCTTTGGCTTCTATCTGTGAAGTGCCTTGTTATCTTGCTCGGGGTGTGGGGTGCAGCCTATGAAATAAAGAGGGGAGGTATTTGCAGTTGGGGTCTGGCTGACTTCTGTCCCTAAGGTATAAGAGCAAGCCAAAGAACGTGTGTATGCATACATATGCGTGTCTGAAGCAGGGTTTCCTGGGAGGCCATGCTTTGTACTTAGTGGGGGCAGGGAGAGTAGCAAACATGAACCCAGGAGGTAGGAAGTGGTAAATGCCAGCTGTAGTCAGCTGCTGGGAAGCCACTGGGGAGGTGTCCTTGTGGCCTGCACATTCCTTCACCCGTGGGCTGCAGGCCTCTCTACCCAGACTCCGCCTGCTCCTGAAACAGGTGTTCCCTGGGAGCCTCTGCAAGGTCCCCACCACACAGAGCCACCTGAGCCCAGAGCCCAAGGCTTGACCTGTGTGTACCTGCTGGAAGTGGAGGGACCTGTGCAAGGCAAAGGGGAATCCGTGGAATATCGCAAGCCCAGATGTCCTAATAGGAGGGTAAGGGAATCTGGTCCTTGCCAGGTGTGTGTGTGGGGGGGGGGGGGGCATGGGCCCAGAATGTGCCACAGGAATTGAGAGAGGTCCCAGAGGTATGGAGGCCCCAAGTGGGAGCAGGAACTCAGCAGCAGCCTTGGCCTCTTAGTCCCCTAGAATGGGCCTCACTCCTCCACCCCACAACCGAAGACTGAGGAAAGACACGGAATCGAGGCAAGTCCTGTTTATTCTGAGGGCGCACGTGCGCTATGGCTTACAAGGCAAAGAGCGGGGCTGGTCAGTTGGTTCAGGGGTCCAGGGCACCAAGGAAAGGGCAGAGTGGACAGGATGTCCCTGGGAGTGGGCACCAGGTTGGGGCCCAGCCCAGAAGCCCAGGGTCCTTCCTAGGAGCAGCTCTTGCGTGCCCATAATTCCCCAGGCCTGGGAGTTGTGGTACAGGAAGAGGGACCTGTCCAGAGGCCACCCTGCCACCCTCCTGGGGGCATGGGGCCTCTATCCTCGGGCCCCTTAGCCCAGGCCCTGCACTCCACACTCCTGGTGGGATGGGACAATGCAGGGATGGCTGGGTGGGGGGCCTGGCCTATTGACTTACCCCACTCAAGGGAGGGTAGGGTTGAGGCAGAACAGGCAGCGCCTATAGGCACATCCTGCTCCCCAGTCTTTCCCCAAAACCAGCATAAGCACAGCCTGGAAGCCCCTGACTCTCTGTCCCCTAGAAGTCCCTGGGCTCCCACGCAGGATGGTGCTGCTGAGGGGGTGGGGAGGAAATGTTTTGCAGAGAAAGGTTTGTTTTATTGCAATTATTTAGAGAGTGAGTCCCAAGGGGGGCGGGGGAAGGGGACTCTGGAATTAAGTGGAAACATGTGTGGAGCTGGAAATCTTTTTGGAAAAAAAGCAAAAACATGAATTCCTTCCAGTCAGCAGGCCCCGCGGCAGGACAGCAAAGGCCCTCAGCCACGAACACTCTGCCCTCTCTCTCTCACTGTCTGTCTTTCCCCCATATTGCTGCAGCAGGACCCAGCACCTGGTGGGGAGTGGGCAGGAAGGGACTCACTGGGGCACAGGTTGGTTTCTGGAGGTGGTGAGACCACCCTCCAGTCCACTGAGGCCTGGGGAGCTCTGGATGGGGCCTGAGGCCCAGGGGCCAAATAGGCAGGAGGGGGCTCAGAAGTTGCTGAAGATCTCACGTTTCCGGTTCCAGTCCATTTGTGGTGCCCGCTTGTTGACACGTGTGGCTCGAGCCTTCTCCTTGGCTTCAGCTGCTGTAGGGCTCAGGTGGAGGCCACTCTCTTGGAAGGGGTCCCGCTTCCAGGCACTGCCGTCCTGAGGGTGGGCAGGGTGCCAACAGTAAGCCCTAGGCTGGTGCCACAGTTGGGCAGTCTTCCCAGGGAGCTCAAGCCAAAGGCTGCTTGGTAGGGTGGGGCAGCAGGCTCAGCAGGCCTTCCTGAAGGTGGTGGCCCCACTGCCCAAGCCGATATCTCCACAGACACCCACCCGCAAGGCCTCTGGCACCCCATTGTGTGAGCGTGGTAACAGAGTTACCTCAGTGTCCTTGTCCGAGCCTGGCAGGTCGCTTCGAGATGAGCATACTGAGCCACCATTGAGCTGGGAAACCAAGGGCAATCATGGCCTCAAGGACCCCACCCAGGGAGCCACACACATGCTTGTGCACACTTTGCACACACACCACAGCTGCATCTGTTCCTCTTTTGGTAGAAACAGCACATCTCTACCACTGGGCAGAGTGCTGGGTACCCCAGCTATGAACAGGCAGGTAGCCACTATGTGGGAAGGGTAGCTGTGGTGTGGGAATCAGCTCCACAAGTGTCACCGGGGGTGAAGCCAGGACCACCTTCCCAGGAAATGGGAACTGAGGGATGACTCAGTAGCTAGGTAGTGCAGGAGAGGGAACACAGAGGACAGTGGCCCTGGACCACAGGTACCCACCTGCCAGCACTCTTTATGTGACCAGGGCATGGCGCTGACCCAAGAAGGGATCCTCAGTGCGCATTAAAGCTGGAGTGCCTGAGCCAGACTTGGGTCTCAACCACACCTATTCTAGGGCAGAGATCTCCAGGGGAGAGGGCCTCCATCAGGCCTGGGGCCCCAGAGATACCACTGTGGTTGCCTGGACCCACCCTCTCACCTGGGCAGGGCTGGTCCCGTTGGTGACTGGTGATGGCAGTGGACCTGTGGGGATAGCATGTCAGTGGCTTGTCTGTCCCCACACTGACCACACCCTGCACCCCAGGGCAGAGGCCCACCTTCCACATGCTCCTCAGTGGGTGTGACCCGCAGACGCTTGAAGTGTTCATCCGTCTCAGGGTCCACCACCAGTAGCCGGGCCTCATCCTCCCGTGCCTTGATGCGGGCAACAACCTCAGCATGGCGCAGCCCTTCCACATTTTGCCCGTTCACCTGCCACCGTGACAGGGTCAGCATGGCCTGAGGGGCCCTGCCAGCCCCACACCCAGCCAAGTGTGCCATCAAATATTCATCAAAGCCACCACCAGCGGAGCCAGCAAGAGGAGTGCCAGCTCAGGTTCCCAGTGTCTCCCCTACTCCTGCAAGGACTTAGGGTCCAGGCAGGGACACACACACACAGGGACATGCAGACATACAAGGACAAGGGCACTCAGAAACACACTGAAGCCTCAGGCATGGTACCTCAATGAGCCGGTCCTGGGCATGGAGGCCAGAGTGGGCAGCAGGTGAGCCTGGGTCCACAGAGCGAATGTATTGACCAGGCCGGGACTTGTCACTGTGCAGGTTAAACCCATAGCCCTGGGGTCCCTTTCGCAGGTGGCAGAGCCGAGGGCGCAGCTCTCTGGGGGCCCCATTGATATCCTGCGGGCACACAGCGCACAGGATCAGGCTCTGGCCCCAACCTCTCAGCCCCCATAAATGCCCACTGGATCCCGCCCACTGTCAAGTCCTGAACTCAGCATCATGCCCCCATGGCAAGCCCCAGAGCTCAGTGACAACATTCCATGTGCCTCAGTGATTCAGTCTGCCTTTGACTGAACTCTAGCTAAGAGATCTTGGGCGAAATTAAAGCTTCCAAACGTGAAGACTTCTGATGGCAGATCTGCCTTGCCAAGTCCTTGAGAAAATCCATCAGCCTGAGGCAGCCCTGCACACTGACTGGGGTTAGAGGAAGAGGCCTGTGGGATGGGATGTCTGTGCCCACAGTCCTCGCCTGGCTCCCTCCCTGCCCCCAAGCCTGGAAAGCTGCTTTTTCTTCCCTGACCTCTGAGAGGCTGGTTGCGGTGGCTGTGGCTGTGATGCTGTTTGTTTTCACATTCCAGCACAAACTGGAGCTCCCCCAACTGCCCCCGCCCCCAACAAGAGCCCGGGAAGAAGGGGCTGGGGCAGGAGGTGAGGTCCAGGGCCTGCCTCCCTGCCAGTGATACAGAAGCACTCAGGATACACACAGGGAACCCCCGCCACCACCAAAGGGCCTTGCCTCACTTTACCTCTGGCATCCTGCAGTAGGGCTCAGGGCCAGGGGCTATGCAGGCAGGGGCCAATCCAATAACCCCCCACTCAGACCCAGGCAGGGGCCAGGGCAGTGACTGTAGCACTAAATGGCCAGCGGCTGTGGGTGCTCAGTTACACATGGCAGGTGGCCGGGGTGAGTGGGCGGGTAGCAGCTCGGGTTTCTGAGGACTTGTTCAGGTGAGAGTGTGGTGGCTCACCAGGGTCTTTCCCCCACCTTCCACCTTCCAGCATGCTAGGGACCGTGGGACAGACTAGGGCTGGTTGCAAAATGAAGGGAGTGCCCCTCAGATTACAAGGAAGGTCTCTAAGGCTTAGGTACTTGTTCCACTGAAGCCCAGACCATCCCTGACCACTCCAGTTGCCCAGCCTTAGAGCTCATACTGAACCCCAAGTCTGACTGGGAACGTCTGTCTGGGCAGCTTCCCACTGTGGGAGTGTCTGTCTCTGAGTAAGATGCTGTCTTCCCTCTTCTGAACACCCTCCTCCTGCCCAGCCTACACCCACTCAGGATCCCTTCCCTGGCCCCAAAGTCTGGCCAAACCCCTTGTCTGGATCCCCTGCCCACCCTCTGAATCCTCACTGTATGGCCACCACCTGCTCCTCAGTCCCCCATCTGGGCAACATGGACTGAATTCAGGGATGTGAGATCTCTTAATCTCCAGGACCCCACCACCTAGACTCATCCTCTCTCCCAGACACATCCAAAGGTACAGGTATGGAGCTCTGGGTCAGGACCTTGACACTTCCCCACAGAAGTGCCCCTCAGGGACTCTGTCAGAGTACAATCTGGAGCAGCCAGTAGGCCAGGGTGCAAAGGAGGGCAGAGCAGGCAGAGCATGGAAGTGTGACATGGCTGTGTGTGGAATGGGAACTCAGGATGCAGGCCCATCACACCCAATCTCACACTCATAAATCCGCTTCATGAACACACAGACAAATGCAGGGCCCATGGTGTTGGCCCCTGCAGCCTCTTCCCACGGCCTCCGCAGTGGCCTGCAGGGCGGGGTCTCTCAAGGCCCCCAAACAGGAAGCAGGATTTGGCCGGGTATCTGGGGCCATGAGGCCACATCCGTGTTCTCAGGGCCATTCTGGCCATCCCCCTGCCTCACTCCAGAACATCAGCCTCACTGTTCAGGCCAAGAGGTTCCTTCTAACATTAACCTAAATTCCTCTCATTAGAAGCAGGTTCAAGAGGCATCAGTCTTGGCACCAGACCCTCAAGTAGAAAGACTGCATTCAGGGGGCCCCAGCTGGCAGCCCGCAGGGTGGAGGGGGGTAGCTACAGAGTAAGCAAGTGTGGGGGGCCAAGAGAAGTGGGAGGGGTGCATTGCTAACATTCCTCCCTGCCCTGGCTCCTGCACGCTTCCTGCCGCCTCCCTCCCGCCAGGCCCTCTGGCTCCCACGGGCTCCAAGCCTGATGACCACAGAGCTAGGCAAACCGGGACTTGTCAAACCCTGGTCCCCCCACTAACCCTGTGACCAGACAAAGAGACTGACATGGGGGTACCCTGGGAGCCAGGCTGTGCCCCCCCTCGATGATGACTCACCAATCCTGGCAGAGAAAGGCCCCCATTATTGCTTAAGGTTCAGCCTACTTACACAAGGTCCCCAAGTCCCCTTTCCATCACCTGGGATCTTCACAGCCCAGCCCTGCCCCTACCCCACCTGACCTGCACAAGCTCCCAGGGTGGGCTCTGTGGAGGGGCTCCTGGGGCCCGGGCGGGTGGTGTGGCATTCCCGGAGCGGGCCATGAGAGACACAACAGGAGTGGCAGGCAGCCGGCATCTGGCCCGGAGTGGCCTGAGCTCTGCAGCCAGCCCAGGCTGCCACCCCACTTATCTACCTCCTGCTGTGGCCCAGGTTCCCAAGGGATGGGTGGGGACATGGGGGCTGAGTCACTTTGGGGAATGGGGTGGTAACCAAGCCCCCTCCCCTGCCAAGGCTCCAGCCCGGCGCTCCCTCACCCGGCTGTGTTTCCGTCCCAAGAAGGGAAGGAAGGAAGCTGCTGGACAGCCCTGCCCTGCTCCAGGACCCAGGGATGGGGAGGCAGAGATGCAAGGGAGGGGGACAGAAGACAGTCCAGCTCTGCCTCACAGGAGCAGAGACAGCAGCAGGACCCAAGGAGCCCAGAAGCTCTCTTATAGGTACTACATCCTGCACCTTGCAGCCACCTGCAAGACCCAGTTATCCTCACAAGGTCTGCCATCAAAGTCCTCCAAAGAGGGCACTGGGGCATGGCTGGGGATGAGGAGGCAGAGGGCCAGGGTCTGTCACTGCCTCCCTGGCCCTGGCACCACTAGCTGTCCTGTCTGGGGGCTGTCCCTGTCGTCACTGCTAGGATCAGCTGCACTGCAGCTGCAGCCACCCCCGGCCCAGTGTGGCCAGAGCTGAGTCACCACTGACTACGCCTGCACACCCCCAAGGGAGGGACAGACCACACCAGTGTTCTCCCCTGCCCTGGCCCAGGACAGAGGACACTGAGTCCCAGAAAGGGTATGAGCAGCCCTCGCCTCACATAGGGAACCAGTATGGGACCCCATATTGCACCAGAGCAGATGCACACACACCTCCCAGGTCTGTCCCTCTGCAGGTAAAATGCCCTCCCAGGCTCCCTGCACCCAACCCAAGTGGGCAGTCTCTAAGCCTGGCTTGCCGAGGTCACATTGAGGCCCCATTCTTCCTTCCAGGGGGTGACCTTTCCATGGGCTCCCCTGACCTCCTGGAGTCTCTTCCCCAGGCTGCCCCATCTACAGAAGGACATGCCTATTGCACCCCCCTTTGTTTCTCTAAAAATAATTCAGAGGAAGCCCCCTCCTAGGGTTTCCTGCAGCCCCCAGAGCCTGAAATAGTGAAAAGGGGGAAGGTCCCACCCAAGGACAGGGTGCCTCAGCCACCCCACCTCCAGATAAAGCCAGAGGGTGGATTTTTCCACAGGAAGGTGAACTCAGCCATTTGTGTCTAAATCAATGGACAAATGCCTGGGGCGGGGGGGAAGCTTCCTCTGGAGGGAGGAGGGAGAAGGTGCCTGGGAAAGAGGGAGGCTCCAGTCCTCAGCTGGAAAAAATACAGGCCTAGGACCATGCTGCCCCTGTAGTGCCAGCCAGCCATCGGCAAGGACTCTCCTGAAAGGCTGTTGACCATGGGCAGCCCCAGGACAAGGTCTAGACTTAAGTGCCTCCAGCACTTGCCCTCAAGTCACAGAGAACCGAGAGCATCCCATGGGTCCCCTGCCCAGGCCTTTGCCCAGGCTTTCCACTAGGAAGGTTACCTCCCCACTCCAAGCCAGGCCCCACAGGGTGCAGCTCACAGGCACAGCCAGCTCAAGTGGGAGACATTTGGAAAAGGGAAAAGGCAGATGTCAAGGTCCCCTTCACTACCAGAAACTTCATCCCTGATAACTCCCCCAACCGGGCCAGTGGTTCTTAAAGGGGAACACAGGAAACTCCTAACTTAAATCTCCTAAAGGGATTTGTTTTTTAAAAAGAGTGAGGGAATGAAGGACAATAATATTAGGGCTTCTAAAAGGCCTTTCTCCTGGCCTCAAGGTGCTGTCCTGGTGGCTACCTAGGTGGGGAGCAGGCCCTCTCCTGTTCTTTCCCAGGTCTCCTGGCCTGGAAGAGGGTTAGGGATGAGGGGAAGGTACTACCCAGTAAGGGCACAGGGAACAGCATGGGGGCTCCTAGGTGACCTCTTTTATATGGAGAAGGGGAGGAGAGGGTATACCCCAGAAACTCCCTGTGAGGCCCCACCAGAAATCAGCACCAGAGGTGACAACACTGCTCAGAGCTGAGCAGACTGTCCCAGACCCAGTCCCATGCCCACCCCAGCCCCATCCGGGCTGGTCCCCAGGTCAGTGTGTTCTTACTCTTCCAACTATGGCACAGCCAGAAAGGAGGCCAGCCCCTACAGGCCTTGACAGCACACATGGACTTCTCAGCAGGACAAGGACAAACCCAATACAGGCACAGAGCTGAGCACACAGGGGCCAGGAATATACCAGCAAATGCTTCCAGGGCCCCTCAGCCACCCGGCCTGGAGGGGAGAGGGCTGATAGCAGAAGCAATAGCCTGAGGGGCTTAGAGGACAGTCACAAGGGGCACAGATGGTGGGCACTGGAGCAGAGGCCTCAAGAGGCAGGAAAAATAGGCTTGTGGAGGTTACCTAATGCAAGGGCTGCGGGCTGGGGCTGAGACTCAGCGGAAAAGCACTTGCCTAGCATGTGTGAGGGCTGGATTCTATCCTCAACACCACTTATAAATAAATAAAATAAAGGGTTTCTTGTTTGTTTTTGTTTTGTTTTGTTTTTAAAAAGCAAGGGCTGTCATCAAGAGACCAAGATGGTGGCCCTTGGAGAAGCTGGTGTGGCCCTGGGAGCAGAGCCCACCTTACCTTTTGGCCAGCATCAGAGCTGAGGCTGCCTGCTCGTGTCCAGTCGGACTTCAGCTCCCAGGGGTCACAGGCAGGTGGAAGGCCTTGCTGGGCCATCTCCTCAGTGCAGGTCAGCTGCCTCCGGCGGAGCTCTTCATCCGTCTCCTTGTCCACCACCAGCAGCCGTGTCTGCCCTTCCACAGCCTTGATCCTCTGTACCACCTGTACGGTGGGTGGGAATGGGTCAGCGGACAGCACCCTGGGCAGCACATGGACAGTGGCACCACAGGCTGGCCCTGGCTCATAGGCCGTTATGCCAGGGGTGGGTGGCTGGACCAAGAGGCCAGTGGGCTCCACCCCCCACCCCCAGGTTCCAGCAGCTTCCTCCCTCTACTCCCAGGGTTCCTGACATGAGGCCCCAGGCTGAAAGAGCTTGGTGTCCACCCAGGGCCTTGCCCTCAGCCCAGGGTCATCTCCAGGAGGGACTGTGCAGGGTGCAGCTAGAAGGGAGAATTAGCAACAAAGACTGCAGCTGAGTTTCAGATTTTCATCTGTGCATATGCATGCGTATGTCTGTTTCAAAGTCTGTCTCTCTATCTGGGTTTGGGGGAGGGAGGTGTCTCCCTTGGTCCCACTGTGGATGTGCCTAGGCCTGTTTCTGTCTCTTTGTGAATTGTGGAATGAAGCCCTGCCTCTAGGGCTCCCTTCCCCTCCAGACCATGACCATGGACCCATTCCTGCGGGTCCTGTGGAGAAGTGCAGACTTGGGTTTCTGGCTCAGGCACCCACACACATCCTGGTAAGCAGAACTCAGCCCCAGCAGATGAGAGGGACAGGGGTAGGTGCACCTGTGGGACAGGTGTTGTTTTACAGCTGTGCGTGTAGGTGGGTGCCTGTGAATTATGCTGAACACACAGGTATCCATGGAGCATACAGGGTGTCAGTGTGCACCCTTGGGGAAAAGGGGAACACCCACTGACACAGGGGGAGGGAGGAAAACAACCCTACCCCCCTTCACCATCTGGGGGCAAACAGATGATGCCCCCCACTGCTCACTGAGCAAATGTTGACAGATAGGAAGGTGTGATCCAGGCCTATCTTCACCAGGCCCCCCAATGTCCTTTCTCTCTCCCCATGATCCAGAGAGAGGCAGGAGGACCGGCAATCTTCTGCTTCCTAACATTCAACCTGGATGAGTCACCCACATCCCTGAACATCAGTCTCCTCATCTGTAAAACAAGGGTTGCAAGCCAGGTGTGGTGGCACGTGCCTGTAATCCTAGCAATTTGGAAGGCTGAGGCAGGAGGATCTCAAGGTCAAAGCCAGCCTCAGCAACTTAGGGAGACTCTGTCTCAAAATAAAAAATAATAATAAAGGGGGGCTGGGGATGTGGCTCAGTGATTAAGCGCCCCTGAGTTCAATCCCTGGTACCAAAAAAAAAAAAAAAAAAATGCGGGTTGCAGCTATACCTCTTCTGAGGCAGTAGGGAGGGTTCAACATGGTTCTGTGTGTATGAAGTTTTTAGAGACTAGCACCCCAGACACTTCAGATGAGCAGGTACTTGGGGCCACGGTGTCAGTGAGTGCTAAACAGAAGCAGGGTGCCAGCTCTGCCAGCCCCTCCTCTGCTGTCTGGACCAAACTTCTAGTCCCCACATCCACCCTTCTTTGGCAAACAGCCATATCCACTTCATGCTCTGAGTGGAAGGCAGGATGCCAGGTAGATGGATGGATAAACAGGGCCCCTGGGAAGATAGGAGTTAAGCTCTTGTCCCAGCCTGTTATCTCCAAACCCCAGGACTGGCCACATACACAGGCCCCGTGAGGGACACAGAGGACCCCAAACAAAACGAGTAGAGGGAGGTTGCACTCCAGCTAGGGTCTGAGGTGGGAGATAAAGAGACACTAGGGCCAGAACCTTCAGAGGAGAGCCTGCCTGCCTAGCCTTCCTCCAGCTGCAGGAGGCAGGGGCTGCGGCAGTGACCCCTACTGGAGACAAAACATCCTCCAGGGAGCCAAGGAATGTGCTGTCACCAGGGCCTAGATCTTTGGGCCCAGACACAGCTGGCCAGGATGCACTCTGGCACACGATCTGTGGACACTGCTGAGGACACACATCCAGACATGCAGATATGTGCGTGCATGCACACACACCTGGCATTCAGGCATGTTCACCCAGCACTGTCACACACAGGTGTACCCCCTCCCTCCCCAGTGTACACTGACAGACATGTTCCATATATATGCATGACCCTAGAGACCTGCTCGAACGCTCGCGCGTGTGCACACACACACACACACACACGCACGCACACTCTCACAGGAAAGTACTCGCGCCCAGTCACCCCAAGGTGCCTGAGCCCCCAACACATGGCACATGAAGCTAAAACCAGCAGAAGGAGCAAAGGAATGAGAGCGAAGAGCCCGAGCAGCCGCACTGCGGCCCCTCCCTGCCAGGATGCCCCTCCACCGCGGTGCAGGACTGAGCTTCCCAGCCAGAGGCCCGCCAGGCCACGTCCCCGATCCCCACCGGAACCCAGGGAACCCCTAGCAGGCAGCGCGGAGCCGAGGGTCGGTGGCTGGCACGCCGGCCAGCATGGCAGGGACGCGCCCCCCAGGAGGGGACGGGGGCGGGGTGCGGGCACCCACCTGGTGGTGCGTCTCGCCCTCCACGTTGACGCCGTTGACCTCGACCAGGCGGTCCCCAGCGCGCAGCGCGGCCGCCTCCGCGGGGGAGCCCGGCTCCACGCGCCGGATAAACTGCCCGCGGCGGCCCTTCTCGCCGTGCAGGTGGAAGCCGTAGCCGTGCTCGCCGCGCACCAGGCGGCATAAGCGGGGCCGCAGCGACTCCGGCGCGGCCATGGCGCCCGCTGCCCCCCGGCCCTCCCCGGCTGGCCACAGCGCTCACCGCCAGTCGCCCGCAGCCGGCAGGCAGGCGGGCGGGGGCGCGGAGGCGCGGGCGGGGGCGCTGGGGACCCGAGGCAGCCTCAGCGGCTCCCGCTTTGCTCTGGTCACCTCGAGCTCCAGCTCCGGCTCCGGCTCCGGCTCCGGCTCCAGCCTGGGCCCCGGCCCGGCTCCGGCTGCGGCGCCGCCCCCGCGCCCGCCCCTTCCCCGCCCCCGCCACCCGCTGCCCGCTGCCCCCGCCCTGGTCCAAGACTTGCTGGCTAGGTCCCTGCCTCTGTGTCCTGTCGGCCCGGGCCCCAGGCACTCCTGGAATCACTCGGACCCCTCCTTTCTGGTCCCCAGTAGAGCACCCTCCCCAACTCCAGCACCTTCGCCTTCTATTCCAGGGACCTTTATTGGACACCTGTGTGCAGCCGCACTGAGGCAGCCTCCTGCAATGGGGAGCAGCTTAGAGAAAGAGTCACCAGGCTATGGGATCCCAGGAAGGGACCAGAGAGCACGGGCCATCTCCCTCTCTCTCCTCCTCAGGAAGCGCTCTCCCCACCCCACAGGACCTCCAGTGCCTGCTCCCTCTCTGATCCCTGAGTCTAGAGCCCATCTGGGTCCTTCCTTCTGCCAGGATTGCCTTTGCCCAGCAGAGTCCCAGGATAGTGGCCCCCAGGAAATGTTGAGCTCTCTGCTCTGCTGTAGGTTAAACACTCCCACCCCCCTCACATGTTCCCTGCCTGGGGGGACATTAGTTTGTTTGGCTGAGACAGAGGGTCTTTGCTGCCTTCCTGCTGACCTGGCATGAACTGCACTGAGGACTTTGGCCTCTGATCTCAGGAGCTCTGGTCAGCTGCCCACATTAAGCAAATGCAGGCAGGTCTCCTCTCCCCTGCCCCAGCCCTCCACCTTTCCTGGACAGGAAAGTAATAAGCACGTGGAAGAGACTCATATGCTTCCTTATGATTCTCAGAGTGCAGTTTACCTGAAAAACCCTAGGGGACCCAGGCCACTTTACAGACCAGAAAACTGAGGTCTGATGAAGGAAGAGACCCACACAAGGGTCCCTAGCTCCACTTGGGCCTGTGACTGTGAGACACACTTCACCAAGGAGCATCTTCTCTGGCAGAAGAAAATAGCTGAGTCCCAGGCTCACTCACAGTCAGACCCTCCTCAGCCCACAGCCCCTCACATACCTGGTTCCCAGAAGTCAGGCTCAGCCAGCCCAGACAATTCCCCATGTGGCCAGGAGAAGCAGGCTTAGCTTAGTCCTTGCCTCTCCCTCTTCTTTCTCCAGGGCCCTTGGCTGGTATCCCCAGCCCCCACCTAAGCACAGGGCCTGCCTCTGAGCAGCTTCTGGGTTGTGGCCCCTTGGGTGCCCACACCCCAGCAACTACCCCTAAAAGCCACTTAGGCTGAGGCTGCAGAGAGGCTCTCTACCCTCACCCTCCTCTGCAGTTCCTGGCTGACACTGCCATGGGCTCCAGCCTGGCCAGCCACCTCCATCTATCTGCCTGTGCAGAGGTTGCCTGCCTGGCCTCTGACTGGCTTTCCTGGACCCATATGGTGCTGCTGCCCTTGGAGACCATGAGGATGAGTATGGGCAGTGTGTCCACCATATACCCCCCCATACCACACCTGCCAGGATGGTGCCAGGTCTGGTTAGCTATAGCTTCGCAGGCCTTAGCTTTGTGGCCACACTAGAGTGAAAGGAAGCAGCAGATAGAAAACCTCCAGGCTGCAGGGTTGGAAAGGTCAGGAGAGGCCCTGGGTCTCTCAGAGACCTTTTCCATCCTCAGTAGGGCTGACTCCATATCAATTTTGGCCTTCGCTGACCTAACTGGCCTTCTGCAGCCCAGGACTCAGCTGAATCCTCTAGCCTGTGACTGAAGATGGGGAACAGGGGCACAAAAACCAAGAATGAATCACAGGACACTGCAATCAGAGTTCCCAAAGCAATAAGGGAGCTGAGAAGCACCAAGGAAAGTCACAATAACAAGGAAACATCTTAGGCCACAAAGGGCATGGGTAACAAAGGAAGCAGGTGCCCTGCAAATCAGGGACAGAATAAAGAAAGGCAGCCAGAGAAGACCTGAGTTGACCATTTCTCAGGGATAACAGGAATGAGTGAGATACACAGAGAGTGGACATCCTGGAACAGCAAAGATAGGGAAGGGTGACCCATGGTGAATCCTCCTAGGCCTCCTCTCCAGGCAAAACTCAAGCCAGCAGGGCACTGTGATGGAGGTGAGAGGCAAGAGAGAGGAGCAGATGGAAAGGCACAGTTAAGGCGTGCAGGTGGGAATGGGAAAGGGTCTGGAGTTTCAGAAGATGGGATAGGGAGGTGGGTGGTGAAGCCTTAGGATTGAGCCATAGGGAGGAACTTTATTTTGCTAGTTCTTCAAGGAGTGGGGTGATCTGTCTCCTAGCCGGAAACAGGATGGAGGTCAAGACACATGCTGAGCACAGTGGTCCACACTTCCCAGCATCTTGGGAGACTGAAGCAGGAGGATATCAAGTTCAATGCCAGCCTGGGCACCTTAACAAGACCCTGTCTCAAAAAATTAAAAATGAGCCAGGAGCGGTGGCACATGCCTGTAATCCATGTGGGTCAGGAGGCTGAGGCAGGAGGATTATTAGTTCAAAGCCAGGCAGGATATGCTCTGAGGCAAAAAGAAGAGGGTTAAAATAACAGGGTGGCAGCCCCTCCCTAATCCTGGGAAGCCAGTGGCTGGGTGGCTCCTTGGCCCTCCCAGGGAATGCTGTGCTCTCTGCACTCAGCAACTCAGTGAGACCCTATCTCTAAATAAAATACAAAATAGAGCTGGGGATGTGGCTCAGTGGTCTAGTGCCCCTGAGTTCAATCCCCAGAACAAAAAAGTAAAAAAGAAAAAAAAAAATTAAAAGGGGTGGGGGCTGAGGATGTAGTTCAGTGGTAAAGTGTCCCTGGGTTCAATTGAAAACACACACACACAGGGGTGGTTAGGGGCCTGGGAGATCCCTGGCTCCACCCTACCTGCTACCCAGGAGGGTCCCCATGGCAGAGAGCAAGGTGGTATGTCCCACCTCTCAGCCCTTCTCTGTCAGTGAGGATTATCTTCTGGGGTGGGGATTATCCCTGCACACCTTCTGGGGCAAGGGAACCTCCTCTGAACATTGAAACCGCTTCCCTCCAGGAAACCCTCCTCCTCCCACATGCTGGATGGAGGCTGGACATGGGCAGGGGTTCCAGGGAATGGCGGTGGGCAGAGGCCTGGTGACCCTGTTTGGGTGGTGAGCCATTAGTCTGACGTTGGATAATGGCCCAGAGGTTCCGGAGCGGGCGCTGCTCCCTAATGGGCACTAATGGTCCCGCGAACATCACCGGGCCTCCTCTCTCAGACTACACCACACCTCTATTTGGGTCCCGAAAGTGCTGCAGGCGGGACCAGCTCAACGGAAGGAAGGAGAAAAACAGACATCCAGACGCGAGAGGGCGAGAGGAGGCCAGACTAAGCAAGGACCCGAAGAGGGAGGAGGGACTGAAAGGGAGGGCAGGAAACTCCCAGCCGCAGAGGCGAGGCCGTCCTCCACCGCCCACCAGGGCCCCGCCCCTCCGGGCTCTACCCCTAGCTTTGGTCCGCTACGGCAACAGCGTAGCGCCACCTGGTGGAAATATGTGGGATTGCATCATCCAGGAGGCTACCCTGGGTCATCTTTCTACAGGGTCAGGATCAGCCCCGGGGCTGGCTACTTCAGGGTTCTAAGTGTGCATGCCATGGGGAGTGATAGGCAGAGAAGCCTGGCCTCTGCCAGCCCCTACACCTTGCACCTGTACCCACCTATCTGACCCAGGGTACTTCTAGACAACTTCACCAACTGTCCCAGAACTGTGACCAAATATTTATGGACCACTCTGCACTAGACATTGGCAAGTATTGGGTAAATATTGCTGAGACCCAGGGAAACCGGAATTTGTGTACCTTAGCCTGAGAAAGGGAGGCCCAGATTGGAGCAGCCCCTGAAGAGTATTTAGCCCCAGCAGGGGCCCTGGAGTCTTCCTTCAGGGCAGGAGCTCTGGGCTATTCTGCAGTCTACCCAGGGTTCCTGCAGGCTGGAGCAGGAAGGAGGGAAGCAGAGGGAGCAATGAACCTGGGTACAGGGCCAACATGAATACTGTCCCATGGGCAGTGGGAGCCTTTGGTGTTCTGTGTGTTTCAGGATGACAAGGTCAGTACACTCATGTTTTGAAAGATCAGGTTTGGTGAGGACTAGGGGCAGGAGTGTGGGAGTGGGCTTGGAGGGAGGAGAGTAGGTCCACCTCTTGGGTCCATGATGGCCCCTTCCCCCAGGAGAGAATCTGGGAAAGCACTTCAAGGGGTTCCCTTCCTGTTCAGGGGTCATCAGACCAGATCCCAGGGTCTGATGATCGACCCATGGATTCCTAGCGGGGGGCAATGCAGACCTCTTTGCCCACCCCATCCCTGAGGTGAATGTGGAAAATGAAACCGCCAAGTGGGAGATGCCCTAGCTGCTCCTCATTCAGCCATCTGGGTGAAATGGATATAAATAAATATAGTTGGGATAAATAAATAAGAACTGGGGAGTGGAATAAAAAGGAACACCCACATTTGGGGACCAAGTAGGGAGAAGGATATACCCAAGAGGTCAGAAGGAACTGCCAGAGCAAGGTGCCAGACCTGGAGCCACCTGTTCTTAATCTTTGCTGGTTAGTCCCAGGGGACACCCTACAACATGGCCAAAAGCAAGCTCCAAGGACAGATGGCATCAGGCATAATGAACCAGGCATTTTGAGGTGGGGGGGCAGGGCCTAGACTGAAGCATGTCGAAGAGGAGGCAGGAGGCTGGAAAGGAGTGAGAACTCTGACTGGAAATGCAGAGAATGGTAAATGGCAGAGAGGCCCTTGAGGAGAGTGGGTGGGGGAGCTTAGCTTAGGTGGGGTCTTTCCTCCCTAGGAGGAAATCATGGAGATTCCTACTAACCCTTTGGAAGCCTTTGGCTGAAGGGAGGGAGTGAGTTTTAGGAGATCCAGGCTTAAAATTAAGGTGGGGAGATGGGCAAAATATGGGCATGCTGCCTGGGCTGGAGGCAGACCCTACAGTGCTGGGAGACATTCTCTTTAGCCTGGCCAGAGGGCAGATAGAAGGGCATTTGGTGGGGCTTCTGCTGAGCAGATTCACCCACCGTTCCACCTCAGGGATGGGGTGAGGCAAGCAGGTCTGCTTTGTTCCCTAACCCACATAGGAAGCCGTGGGTCAGTGGGACCTGGTCTGATGATTCCATCCCTGAATAGGAGGGGAACACTCCCAGAGGAGGGGACCCAGACCCCGGCAAAATCTCTGCCTTGCTTTCCCTCATTTCCTTTCTCCCCAAGGACATACACTGCTGCAGCTGGTGGGGGAGGGGCTTTCCCTGGCCCGGGAGAGGGCTCTTGACATTTGCCTCGGCGTGGGCACAACTATGTTCGCCCTGAAGCAGACGCAAAGTACACAGCCGCGAGGAAGGGGTCACAAGCGGGGGCGCAGATATCAGGTTGATTTTATTGACCTGGCTGGCTTCAAGCTGCGTGCCTTGGAAGAGCAGCGTCTACTCCTGGGTCAGGCGCGGGGTCGCCGCTGGTAGGGAATACTGTCAGGGTGGTTCTGGACCAGGCGGGGGCCGGCGAAGGCAGTTTTCTGCAGCGACCACGGCTGGGCCAGAGACATCTCTCCAAAGTGTCTAAAAAACAACAACAACAAAAAAAAAAACAAAACAACAACAACAACAACAACAACAAAAAAAAAAACAGCAGGTCTCTGAGGAGTGGGCCAAGCACCCTCCACTTGCTGCTGAGGTTGCAGGGTAGAGTGCTTCGCAAACGCCGTTTTGAAGCGCAGTTGGGGACAGAACCAAGGATAGAACCGCGGGTTGTTCCCTTGGGCACCTGGACTCAGACCTCCCAAGACTCCCCTCGCTGTCTGTTATCCGGGCCTCCTCCCTCTCCGCACTTACCTGGCCGACTCCGCAGAGGCCCAGGACTGGAGGTCCAGACGCAGCTTCCGTTCGGGCGCGAGTTCAGGGACGTGCGGGCTCTGGGGCGCACGGACCGGGAGCCCAGCCCCAGAGCTCTTGCGTCGTGCCTTCCACAGCTCCCGTACCCGCGAGGGAAGCCGGAGGAGAGCGAAAGCGTTACCGGCCGTGGGGCCCGGGGTGAGGGATTCCCAGATGAGGGTCCCGGCAGCCGGTCTCAGCTCGCGGCGCCATAGGTAGGGTGAACGGCGCAGCCCCATAAGGAGGCCCGCGGCGCGGCCCACGGTGTGGTAGCGAGGACTCGCCACGTGCTTGTACCAGGCTCCGGCGGGCAGCGGGAGCAGGAGCAGGAGCAGCAGAAACGCGAGCAGCGGCGGGATAGCAGGAAGCCCCAGCCCCCGGCCCCGCACCCCCGGGCACCACGCCAGGGCGCTCAGGTTGACTGCCGCCCAATCGGGCGGATCCCGCAACACACAAGTCTGGGTCTGTATGCGAAGAGGAACTGTGGTCTGGAGTGCAGGAGCACAGGAGGCTAGAGGCAAGGAGTTGGTTCAAGGCGCGGGTGCGACTATAACCGCTGGGTGGCCCCGCCTGGGCCCGCCCCCGAGGTACCTGCTGGGATCCCCAAAGGCACGAGGCGGGGGAGGAGAAGAGGGAGTCCAAGCTGCTCAGAGCATCTCACTGAGTGACACACTGGCTAGAACTGCTCTTGAGGCCCCACTGGGGGCGCCCCTGCTTACTCCATCACTTCTGTTCCACCTCCTCTGCCCAGGAGTGGGACTGATGGCGAGGGAACTCTGGGCCTCAGCACAAGGCTGGGGGTCAAGAACAAAGGAATGCCCCCTTGGCCAGAGCTCCTGCACTTGGGGCACTAGCAGAGTAAAGAGAAGGAAGTTGGCAGAGTTTCATGGGATAGATAACAGGAAAGTGAAGTGGTGGGCACTGGTGACATTCAAGACCTCTCTCTGCAGCTCTTCTCTGAGACTTGTCCTTGTCCTGGTTAATATAGCTCTCAAGTCTCCCCCAACCCATTTCCTCTCTGTAGCAAGACCGATGCTTGGAAACACCAAGTTTGGCCACATCAAGCATTCCTGAGATCTTTAGTTTCCCTAAGGATGAATAGGCAGCCCCTCCTGGTATCCTCAGCCAGAACAGGGCAGGAAAGGGTCTTGCCCATTTCCAGTGCCTCTTCTCTGGTCACAGATCTCTTCCCCTGAGACCACTCCCGTCAATTTCAATGCTTTTTTGGTTAGCCAACAATCGTGATTTGCTCTTTTCTGTGCTGGGAACAGCTTTCCCTTCTGTCTCTACCTGGCAAACTTCTGTGCATCCTCAGGACTCTACTGAAATGGTCCTGGTCTAGGCCTGCCTGAGCTGGTCTTACTCACCCCTCCCAGAGAGTACAGCCTGTTGTGGTCTTTCCTGACATCCAGTCCAGGGTAAATCAGCCCTCAAAATAAGGCAACTAGTCAGTTCGGGAGTACCCCCTAGGTCTCAGATACCCAGGGATCTTGTTTGATATCATCAAATACCTTATTTTGACCTTCAAATATTGTCATGAGTGGGCTGGGGATGTAGCTCAGCAACAGAGCCCTGGCTTAGCGTGTGCAAGGCCCTGGGTTCGATCCTAAGCACTACAAAAAACAAACCAACCAAAATGTCAGTGCGATGAGGTGTCATTATAATAAATTCCATTTTACCAGTGAGAAATTGAAGGCAGAGGAAGAATGACTTGTCCAAGATAATCTGTTTGGCAAACACTGGAAGAAATGAGTTGCAAACCCAGACCTCTAGCAGAGAGCCTCAATTTGAGGGAATAAGGGATTCATATCAAAAGGAGCACAGAAGGACTGAGTGGGACAGAGGAAGGTACCCACTTCTAAGGCAGCAGGAGCCAATGACAGGGGAGGGGGGGTGTCCTGGCAATCCCCACCAGCAGCCTTCCCCCCAAAGGCCACCCAGAACCACTCAGAGCCCGGCCCTGGAGCCTAGTTAACTAGGTTGGAAGCTGTCCCAGGTTTGATGGTGATGGCGGTGGGGGTGGGGGTGGTAAGTGCCACAACCTTTCCTGTTTCCTCCTTTGAAACTGGGGATAGTAATAGTGGCCACCTTGTCATCTTGTCGCATTGACAATCCAGTTGTGGGTCTTAGCACCATGCCTGGCACCCAGTAGTTGCTTATGGATAGGGTCCACTGCTGCTGTTGCGAAGGCTGGCCAACCCCCAACCTGTCAGGGAAAACGCTTCGATGGCGCTGATAAAGGATGCAGGGGAGCCAGCTGCGTGCCTGGATGCTGCGTGCCTGGAGGACCGCGGGGACCAGGCGAGCTCCCAGCCCCCGCCGCCCCGCCGCCCCGCCGAGCTCCCAGGTGGCCCCTCAACTTTGAAAACCGCTTTAAGTGTGAGGTGGGCGGGCAGCGCAGCACGACGCTGGCCGGAGCCTGGCTGCCGGAATCCCTAGGCACCAGCTCTCGCTGCCGCTCTAGGACCCAGGGGAACTGCAATCAGGCTGCGGAGGGTCAAGAGCGCCCCCTGGAGGTGGCCTGAGGAACGCGAATCAATATGAAAACATCAATTGTGCTTTATGCTGGATCTACTGGTTTAAAAAAAAAAAAAAAAAAGGAGTGTGGATAAATCTCAAAACCAAAGTGTGGCACAAGGGAAAAACACGCTGCAGCATGACAGCCTTGGTGTGCTGCCGCTTGCTGAGGCTCGGATGCCAGCAACTGGCTCCTCTGTCTCGTCTATGGCTTCAGGGAGTGAAAATATCAGGGTGCAGAGAGAGTACAAACAAGTGGGTGCCTGTCAGCAGGGGTGTGCAAAGGCAGATGGAGGAAGCCCAGGGCTGGGTTAGGGAGCAGAGCACTAGATCACACTCCTAGTTTGAAGTGCAGGGGAGGAGAGGCTCTGTGCCCTGTCCTACCTCAAGCTCAGTGGGCTAAGTGACAAAGGCTTATGCTCCCCTGCCAAGGGTTTGGAACCAAAGCTCCACTGGAGGAGGAGTAGCCCATAGGAGCCAGCATCCCCTGGGGCTCCTTTCCTTTCCTTCACACAACAGCCCCTCTTAGAAACCAAGGGGTGGGGCTGGGGCTGTAGCTCAGTGGTAGAAGGCTTGTCTGGTGCTTGTGAGGCACTGGGTTCGATCTTCAGCACCACATAAAAATAACTAAATAAAATAAAGGCACTGGGGTAGGGAGAAAAGCAAGCAAGGGGTGGTGGCTGGGATTCTGCACAGTATCTGGCCCTGAGCAGGAGCTCTGCAGTGAGGATGTGATGCATGAAGAAATCTATTTTGTCATCTTTCTTTCTTTTTATTTTGGTACTGGGTACTGAACCTAGGGTGCTTTACCACTGAGCTACATCCCAGGACTTTTATTTATTTATTTATTTATTTGACACAGGCTCTTGCTTTATTTTATTTTTGAGAGAGAGATAGAGAGAGAGAGAGAATTTTAAAATATTTATTAGTTTTCGGTGGACACAACATCTTTATTTTATTTTTATGCGGTGCTGAGGATCGAACCCAGCGCCCTGCGCATGCCAGGCGAGCGTGCTACTGCTTGAGCCACATCACCAACCCCATTTATTTTTTTATATTTTATTTTTTTGACACTGGGGATGAATCCAGGGTCTTGTGTGTACTAGATAAGTGCTCTACCACTGAATTATAACCCCAGCCCTCAAATACACACACACGCACACACACACACACACATATATATATACACACATTTTTTAAAGTTGTAAATGGACACAATATCTTCATTTTATTTATTTTTAGGTGGTTCAGGGGATCGAACCCTGTGCCTCACGCATGCTAGGCAAGCGCTCTACCTCTGAGCCACAGCCATAGCCCTCAAATATAGATCTTTATACTGGGCATGGTAGCATAATGCCTGTAACCCCAGTGACTCAGGAGGCTGAGGCAGTAGGTTTGCAAGTTTGAGGCAACCTCAGCAACTCAATGAGGCCCTCAACAACATAGTAAGACCCTGTCGCCCCCCCCCCCCAAAAAAAGGGGCTGGGCATGGTGACACATGTCTGTAATCCCAGCAATTTTGAAGGATGAAGTAGAAGGAATGCAAGTTCAAACTCAGCCTTAGCAACTTAGGGAGGCCCTGAGACCCTGTCTCTAATAAGACATGGCTTGCTGGCTAAGTGCCCCTGGGTTCAATTCCTGGTACAAAAAAAAAGGCAGGGATTGGAGATGTAGTTCAGTGTTAAAGCATATCTGGGGGGGGGCTAGAGATGTGGCTCAAGCGGTAGCACGCTCGCCTGGCATGCTTGCGGCCCGGGTTCGCTCCTCAGCACCAAATACAAACAAAGATGTTGTGTCTGCCGAAAACTAAAAAATAAATATTAAAAAATTCTCTTCCAAAAAAAAAAATTCTCTCTCTCTTAAAATAAAGCACATCTGGCGTTCATTCCTTAGTACCAAAACAACACATACATTCTTTTGAGGGTTTCCTCTATCTCTTTAGGTCTGTCTGTTTTGGTAGTGTCGTCCACTCTGCACTCTGCTTTCCTTATGAGTCTGCAGGGCCTTGGCTCTACACTTGAGAAAACCCTACAATACTGTAGGGTTTTTTTTTTTTTTTTTTTGTGGGGACAGAACTTGCAGAATGGTGGGTTTTGCTGTCAGTAGATGGGTACCAGGCAGTTTTTCTAATGGGGTGGAGCTGGTCCATTTCTCCAGCAGAAAATCCTCCCCTAATCCTAACCCTCTCCTACTGAGGGTAGCTGGATACAGAGAGAAGGTTGGGAGGAGGGCTCAGGTTCCCAGCTCAATGCATAGACTTCCATATACTCCTGCTTGCAGTCCCCCACTTCAGCCCACCTCCATAGTTCTGAATGAAACTTCTCATTAGGGCTCCCCAGAGGGTGTTAGGATGCTCTGTAAAATAAGTCACTTTCCTTCATCTTTTGTCATTCCAAAAAATGTGTTTATATTGTAGACTAATAGCTTTTTAGACTGTATCACTGTCCTTTTAGTGGGGTTTTGTGGAGGTGAGATGGCATCTGCATGCAGCCATTCCACCTGGTTTAATTGGTATGGTGACCTACTTTGCAAATGGGGACGTTATTGGTCTCAGTGAGCCAACCAAGGTCACCAGAGGACCTCAGAAGTGGCAGAACTGGGGTTCCGAGACCATTTCCGTCTGATTCAGAGTTCATTCCCCCACAGCTGCTCTTTTCTTGACAGGTTCGGATCTAGACCTGCCTCCCTTCATTGCAAAGGCAGGGAGGAGGCCCCCCAAAACAGATGCAGAAACCTGAAGCCACGGACTTGCCACCATCCATTCAAACATTCCTTGCACTAGGCCCCAAGCCCTGCTAGGTGTGACGAGCTACCAAGAGGACATGAGATCCCTTCTCTAGTGGGATGGCTTTTTGAATAGGGATCTGCCTCTGCTTAGGAAGTTGGGGCGGGTGCCAGGTGAGAAGCTTGGGTGTGTTCCTGCTGGAGAGAGGTGGTGGGTTCCTGACAAGGTTACTAAATTAATTAATTTATTTATTTTGTGTTGCTACGTATCTAACCCAGGGCCTGGGCA